ATACGGGATTATTTCTCATTTGACTTTCGGAACAAAGATTTTGCAATTTGACTCTTAAATTTATTTTTAATAAATTTAATAATAAATATATGCTTAGTGCACGGAAAAAAAAGATTTGGTTGATTTAACCAAATATTTGGTCGAATATGAACAATCCAGAAATTCCGATTGAAGTAACTCGAATTCTGTTTAAGTTAACAAGATTTTTAGTAGACGAACCAAACATGTCTGGTTATTTAACCATGATTAATCTACCGAAAATCTTGTTAACTTAAACAGAATTCGGGTTACTTGAATCGGAATTTCTGGATCGTTCATATTCGACCAGATATTTGGATAATTCAACCAAATCTTTTTTTCCGTGTATAATACACTTGTTCTTAGCTATTATTAAATTTATTAAAAACTTTTTACAGTCTCAAATTGCAAAATCCTACTTTGCATTAACAAATTTTACATGAAGAATAAGATAAAACCATATCTTCCAGCAAATATCGAGATATTTATATCCAATCAACAATACCTAACATACTACTGTGCCCAAAAAGTAAGAATTAAAAAAATTTTTTTTAATCTTTATTATTCCAAATCTATTTCGTCGCCTTCAAAGTAATCCCCCTCAGACACAATACACTTATGCCAACGTTTTTTCCAACTCTCGAAACAGTTGTTAAAGTCGATTTCCGGAATGGCCTTCAAAGTTTTCTTCGATTCAGCTTGTATCTCTTCAATCGAGTCAAAACGGTGTCCCCGGAGCGGTCTTTTGAGTTTAGGGAATAGCCAGAAGTCACACGGTGCTAAATCAGGTAAATATGGTGGTTGTGGAACGATATGGGTCGAATTTTTAGCGAAATGGTCTCGAAGAACCAATGCAGTGTGAGATGGTGGGTTTATATCTATCACTGCAGTGTGGGTTTATACGCATCACGTAATACGGTTTCCAACCGTAAGGTTGGAAAAAACGTTGGCATAAGTGTATTGTGTCTGAGGGGGATTACTTTGAAGGCGACGAAATAGATTTGGAATAATAAATAAAGATTTAAAAAAAAATTTTTTAATTGGTCTTACTTTTTGGACACAGTAGTACGTTATCAGCGCATCATCTATTGAATAGAAGTAATTAAAGTAACAGTTGAATTCGTTACCGTTACCGCAAAATGTAACCATGTAACCGTTACTGTTACAAACAGGAAAAGGATCATTATTGAAAAAAGTAACGGTAATAGTAACGGCGTTATTTCCCAACTCTAATTTTTACTATGACTGCAAGATCATTTTTTGAGTGAAGTCAGACGAAGTACGCGAAGCGTGCCGTCATAAGGATGCGCCATCTTAACTAATTCATACACTGGCTGTATTCCGGCGGAAGGTAGTAAACGTGGGCGACTAATGTTAGGTTTCGCTTTCCGCAAATTTACGAGGGCAAACAATGGAGCTCGCATGCGTCAGTACACGGAGGGCGTATCTGACAGAGACGATAGTCTGCTTGTCGGACGATGTCTGCCATACGTGCCGAGAGGGAGAGAAAGAGAGAGAGACTCTAAATAATATGCAGAAGGGTTCATCGTGTGCGAGAAGGTCACGATGGTATTAAGGATAACCGGGATATTAGAGACCTCGTTACCGCGGAGGATAACAGCTTTTAAAGGAAATTGTGTGCACCTCACGTCAAATTAATGCCGTGGATTTCCTCGAAGCTGCTTCGGCTCTTCTCGACGATGACAAATGGCTTCCTCTCTCGCGCGACAGTCGACCTTCATTAAAGCCGGCAGTGCACGTATCTTCCCAACGTTCGTTTGGGATCATCAGCGAGACTCGAAACTTCGGTGGCGCTTGTTCGACGTGACCACGGGATTATGTCCCGATTGTCCTAACGTCCGCGGGCAAGAGAAACGGCGGGAGGAGCACGAGGGCAAGAAGCGCAAAAGATACGGTCGCATCGTGCTGTTGCACTCCGCGTCGTAACTCGGCAGATCGCATCAACGAGATGATCGCCGAGTACGAACGCGTACGGCCACTAATGGCTCCTGCACACAGGACACGTTAATGCTTGCCGCGCGGCGGAAGTCCGCACGATAACCAATCAATATTGCTGTTTTTCCGTAAGAGCTAGAAGGTTATTACGGAAAGCAGCATATTGATTGGCTATCGCGCAAACTTCTGCCGCGCGGCAAGCATTACCGCGTCCTGTGTGCAGGAGCCATAAGGCTGACCACTGTCCACTTCGCGGATCTACTGTTCCCCAGGTTTCTCGCGAGACTACACGCGCGGAACATCCGTCTTCCTCTTGTTTTTTCTCCTTCCCGTCGCCGCTCGCTGCGACACTCCGCGCAGTATCAAGCTGTGCGAATTATACCGGACAAAATCCTCGGCGAGAGATACGTCGTCTGCGTATCTCTCGGACCAAATCTGTGTCGATATTTAATACGCAGGCATTTAAACCTGTCTCCTACTGAGAGGTCGTCAAATCGCAGAGGACAGTGCTGTGTTTTAGTGATCTGGTGGAGGTAATAAGAAGATCGAGACCGCTCAGCAAAGTAATCTCAATTCAGGTTCTCATTAGTCTCTTAAGCGCGTGTATTTGAATTTATTTGATAAAGGCTGCTTAAGACTTCTTGTACCTCGGCGCGGTCATGTTGACATTAGAAGCGAGGAACGACATACTGACGAAAGTTGCGTGTCATTTCTAAATAAAGATAAATATGGACGAAGGAACACTTGAGACTGTTTGAACATACTTGTAAAATTGTCCGAAAGGTATCCTTTTCCTTTGATGATTAATAAATAGTCATATAATAAATGGGAGAATGAGGCAAACATCATTTTACATGCCTCATTTCACCAGTTATTATACATTATTATATTATTTATTGATCATCAGAGGAAAGGGATATTTTTCGGATAATTTTATAAGTGTATTCAAGTAATCTTAAATCTCTCTCTTCCGTCTATATTTATCTTTATTCAGAAATGGCACGCAATTTTCATCAGCATATGTCATTCCTAAAAAAATCCACAGAGAAATTATTTTATATTATTTATTTATCTTCATTCTAAGGTTGAATCTTTTACTTAAACTATTCTCCGAATTTCTAAGATGTCTCATTTGTTTGTAAACAACTTCAAAAATGGACAAAAACGAGTTTTTGACTGTTTGTCAATCGGTTTTTCTTATAGAACTGATATACTGGAATATTTTCGATTTTAGATTCGTAATCAATAAAAATAACCTATCAGAATCATCTTTCTCGTGTCATTTAATAAACTTTTTATCTAAATCTACATTCATACGTTTATTACTTAGCGAGAAATTATTACTTCGCTGTTTCTCGTTTCCATACAATTTGCTTCGCGAACCACATGTCAGAATAACTCATCAAAGCGTATTATGCTAATTGCAATTCAATGAACATGAGCGGAAAATTACGTAAAGTATGTACAATGTTTACGATGTTTTGCAAATGTCTACGTCGGTATTTACAAGTAAAGCACAATATTTATAGCAAACGCGGTTTATCAGCGAGTATAGAAGGATAAAATTAGAAATACGCATTGCTCAAAGTCTTAATTAATAATAATTAATTGCGGAAATTGAAACGAAAGATACACGAAAGAAAATCTCAATTCGTGTAACTGAATAGGGACCATGTAGAAATCCGGCGACTTAAAATGATATTTTTTATTACCACAACTGAAGATATTTGTCTACATATTCAGCTATATTAATCTTTCAAGCGCAATCTTGTATCATTGATTTCTTAAAAAAAGTGATTTTTTTGAAATACAATTGAATTTAAATCAACTTTTTTACTCTTTTATTACATTTATACTATCATCATCAAATTTCTGATCTTCTTTTCTTATACTGAAAAAATAAATTGATATTGAGATCTGTGGAAAACACATTCTTGTCGTCTTTATTTTGACAAGATGAATATACCCTAAAAGTTTGGCCAAGTATTCCGTAAACGCCCTGTATAAATAAATATCCCTGAGCAATGAAGATATATATCGGAAGCAATAATAACAAAGTCGCCGGACTCAAGTAGAATTGAAAATAAAAGGAATTTACCAGGAAGCTACGATTGTCGAGAAAAAATGAAGCACGTGAGGACAAGGGTCGCAGAGGCATTCTTTTATGCCCGTTTGACATTCCATAACGAATCGGACGTGGCCACGGTTAAATCCTGTGGCGGCTGCTGAAGGGACAGAAGGTAGTCTTCCGGGAAATGGTCGAGAAGAAGCCGGTCACCGGTACCGTAATTATTCACGAGAGAATGAGTTATCGTCTTACGTAAAACATCTTTAGCATCATCAGCAACAACGACGACGACGACAACGACAACCAAACAGGTTGACGAGATCGAAGTTTTCCGAAAATGATGTCCGTCTAGGCGTCGCTTTTCGATGGACGTCACATCGGATCTTAACGATTTCTCGCATTAGGGGATCTCGCGAGTGGCGCGATCGATCGCGCACTCGTTTGAGTGCCTTAATGCGATTCCCGGGAGGGCCTGATGTCCGTTGCGTAACGATCCGAAGCGCGTAATAACGTTGCCCGCTGGGCAACGGCAACGACCGCTGCTAATTACTCTCTGGTCTCTCTGTCCGCCACTTTACTCTTTTTCTCTCTCTTTCTCTCTTTATTCTGTCTCTCTTTCTCTTTTTTTCTCTCTCCCCCTCCTTTCTTCTCTCTGTCTGCTACCTTACTCTTTTTCTCTCCCTTTCTCTCTTTTTTTCTCTCTCTCCATATCCGTTCATCCGTGTGACTTTTCGCAGCGTCTCGCCTCCGAGCTCGTCCTCATAGACGCGAACGAGGATCTCGCCAAGGCGGAAGCAGAAGACATCAGCCACGCGGCGGCGTACCTCGGCGATCCGAAGATTATTGGCACCAAAGGTGAGGCTCGGCGAAAGAAAGAGAAGAGGGCACAG